TTGGCCGAACTCTGACAATTCAACAAACTTGAGCGTAGTTCATGGGAAAACAGAAGAGAGATATATATATATATATATTACTATTCCTACTTTGCAGTTTTTCACTTATCATAGTGTTGGACTGAAAAAGGGATTACTGTAATCTGAAAATGTTGGGTGTCTCTTGTTTGGCCCCCAGCGTGGACGCATCCTGGTGTCGCTGTGCTACAACACAGAGAAAGGCTGCCTGCTGGTTGGGATCATACGCTGCGCCCACCTGGCCGCCATGGACTCCAACGGCTACTCTGACCCCTTCGTCAAAATGTAAGTCACCTCCCACATTCATGAACATCCCATGAACTACGCTCAAGTTTGTTGAATTGTCAGAGTTCGGCCAAACTGTGGACAGAAAGATCAGCATAGGAGACGCACTGGTCTGATCAGTCGTAACTTTAAAGAGGAGATTGTAACGATAACTCCACAGATATCTGAACCATTAGTTGTCATTTAGAGACAATAACAGAAGACAAAGCCCTTCAAATCGAGTACATTGATGGAAACGGCATGGTCAATAAAAACTGAAAAAGGGACAGTTCTCATCTTTCGAAGTGAGGTTTGATTCACGCCTCACTTGCATATAGCTGTTTGAACAACCTCAGTTTGGAGGAGCAGAGTTTGTTCTGCAGCAGTTGGGGACAGTCAGTATTGCCAGCTGGCTCCAAAGAAACCTGTGCATTAAAGGGAAGGAGTCTAAATCTGCAAAAGTTAGTATTTACAGAATAAATGTTGAATGAGAATATGCATATATGTTCATAGATGTATGCAAGTATATACCCCGTATATACAGAGTGAATGAAAGTGAAATATGCAGATGTATTATGACAGCAGCAAATAATATAATATATGCAATTCGAGTATGAATAGTGCAGACTGCACAAATATACAGATGTGATAAATATTGCAACATTAAGAACAAAGTACCATGTGTATTTAAAGTGACGTTATTACTGTGATGAGTTCAATAATGTTACAGCCTCGGGAAAGAAGCTCTTTCTGTGTCTGTTGTTGCAGGAGCAGAGGCTCCTGTAACGCTGAACAGATGGTAGGAGATTAAAAAGTCCATAGTTAAAATGAGAAACGTCCTTGATAATGTTCCTCTCCTGGCCCAGGCAATGCTTGTGGTAGATGCACTAAATTGTGGGTAACTGAGTGCCAGTGATGCATTGGGCAGTTTGTATATATGTGATGCTCAGGTGTTTCATTTCAGTAATCATTTTTCCAAGCCTTCTTATTGTCCTGGCTCTCAGTCTGTCTTTGTTCCATTGTCCGTTTTCCTCCCTGCTTCTTCTCCTTGGGGCACTATATGGGTTGTTTTCACACTATAAATTTTTTTTAATGTAGTAAATTTTCAGGCTCTTTAGCTTTGTGTTTCAAATAAAAATGTCTGTTTCTGGTTCCTGGCTCCATATCTGCATCTTTCATACTGCATCTTCATGCCAGAACTCTTGAACCTAATACCCGACCTGTTCATGTGAACACTACGTTAGAAATCTGTACTTTGCTGTAAGTTTTATCACATTCCTGCAAAAACCTTGGGGTTTTCTTCCCACATAACCCATTACTATACCAATTCTTCTGTCTGTCCATCTTTTTTTGACCTTCAGCAAATTGAGGCAAAGGGCCAACCATCCTGAGCCTGGTTCTGGTTCTGCTTTATTGTGTGACTGTTTCTAAATCATTCTCACCTTTGAGATCCATTCTTCTTCCATATGTTTTTCGGCTTGTACCTCGTTCTGCAGTTTTTGTGCTATTTCAACAGTTCGTGTATCAAAACGTTCAGCTCCTTCTGGACATTCCTGCTGTGACTTTTGGTATTTGTCTAATTTTCACTTTTTGAAATATTTAGCTTTGTCTGCCGTATTTTCCCCATAGAAAATGAATGGTGCTCTCTTTGAACTTTTTGAGCTGTTTAAAAACCTTTTACTACTCGTTTCAGCTTTTGTTCTGCTTCTGCTTCAGCTTTATTCTGCTTCTTTGGGCTATTTTCGAATTCCTTCAGCTCCTTTCAACTTCTTTCTGCTCATTTAAACTTTTGTATGGATAATCAGCAGCACAGATAAAGAGACATATATCACCAATTAAAGTGGCATTACAGTGATTTTTTTTTTCTAGTTAGGGAATCATGAGTCTAACAGCTTCAGGGTATAAGCTGTTCCTCAGTCTGTTCAGTGCCCTGAGATGACTTCTGTTGTTACTTGGCACTATATAAATAAACTGGATTGAAATAAAACTGAATAGTGGTTCTACACTTAATGCTCTGCAACTTCCTGCATAAGGAGAGTGGGGCAAAAAATGAGTGTGTTGGGTGAGTGGGGTCCTTCGTGATGCAGGTGGCCCTCTTCTTGCATCTGGAGGTGTAGATGTTTGTGATGGTGGGGAGGATGACTCCAACAGTTTTCTGTGCAGTCCTCACCACTCTCTGCAGAAATTTAATCTCTCCAGCTGTGCAGCCTCCATGCCACAGGTTGATGCTGGAACACAGGATGCTCTCCGCTGCACACCTGTAGAAGGAGGTGAGGACTGAGTTTTCCGGTCCAGCTTGGCTTAGTTGCCTGAGGAAGTAGAGTCTCTGATGAGCTTTCTTGATCAGGCTGGTAGTGTTGTTGCCCCAGCTGAGATTGTCATTCATGTGCACACCCAAGTACTTGTAGCTGGAGACCACTTCCACCGCAGATCCTCCAATGTGCAGGGAGCGGGGGTAAGTGTGTTTGCACCTTCTGAAATCCACAAAAATCTCCTTCGTCTTCTTCACATTGATGGCAAGGTTGTTCTTCCTGCACCAGCTCTCCAGGTGTTCCACCTCCTGCCTGTAACTGGACTCATCATTGTTTATGATGCATTCCACTGTATAAACTTTACAATGGGTATGTTTACATGGACATAAGTAACTGGATCAAATGGCTGGTCGGAATAAAAGTGTGTCATGTAAACGCTCCGTTCGGGTTATTTTTTGTGTATTTGGCGCGATCCGTTATAATTTGTGATCAGAACAAAACGGGTGGTCTACGCCGATCTGAAACCCGATCGGTGCGCATGTAAACGCTTGATCTGTTCGTTTTTATCTGATGGTGAAAAACTGACCTGACTGCGCATGTGCAACTTTGCCATTTCCGCCTGGCTAACGCTAATAATATTAGCATGTCAGGGAAGTAAAACTGGTCGGTGAGCGACACAACATTTCTACTAGAAACTTTTAAAGAGCTCAAAATGATTTCTATTACCTGTAGCTCAGTCAGGGAGTGCAATAACGTCTCCACCATCATTAAAACCTGTTGCGGGTCCATTTTGGGTGCTCAGGTTTGTTTACGTTCACCTGGAAGTAGAACTTCTTCTTCGGTGTTTTTTTTAAGGAGAGTTTACCACTCTGCGCATGTCAGTACTGCTGTTCAGAACAAAGCCCGCTGCATGTAAACACTCGTCATGAACAGATTGTGCCCATGTAAACAATACATTTGAATTATTCAAACAGAACACATTTCAATCCGGTCAAAGAATTCTGCGCATGTAAACATAGCTAATGTGACAGCCTGGATAGGTAGGTGTGCAATCACATGCAGAGTGAACAGGAGGGGGCTCAACACACAGCCCTGAGGGGAGACAGTGCTGAGGGTTTTGGTGAAGGAGGATAAGTTGTGGATCCTCACAGACTGCAGTCTGTTTAAAAAGTCCAGGACCCTGTTGCAAATGGAGGGGCTTAGTCCTCGTGTAAGTAGTTTGTCCATCAGGGTTTGGGGGATCATGGTGTTGAAGGCAGATAGATATGAAGTCCACAAAAAGCATACGGTTGTAAGAGTCCTTCTGCTCCAGGTGAGCGAGAGCAGTGTGGACCACAGAGGAGATCTGTTGATCAATTCTTGCGGTATGCATACTGGTGTGGGTCTTTGCTGGTGTCGATGGTAGCTTTTATGTGTGTCATGACCAGTCTTTCAAAGCATTTTGCGACTATCGGGGTGAGGGCTACTGGTCTGTAGTCATCCAGTACAGTCACTGCAGAGCTCTTTGGAACTGGGATGATGGTGGTGGTCTTCAGGTAGGTGGGAACAGTTGCCAGGATAAGGGAGGAGTTAAAGATATTGGCCAGCACCTCTCAGAGCATATCAGCACAATCTCTCAGCACTCTTCCTGGGATGTTGTCTGGACCAGTGAATTTGTGAGGATTAATCCTCTTGAAGGTCCTCCTTACTTCTGCTGGGGTCACGTTGTGGAAATTTTCTTCTGGTGAGGTGAGTTTGGTGCTGGGTGGTCTATATGGGTCTTCAAATCGGGCATAGAACCTGTTAACAGCATCTGGCAGTGAGGAGTCCCTAGGGCATTGTGCATTGTCCTAGGGCATAGTTGCACTTTATGCCCTTCCACATGCTCTATGGGTCCTAGGAGAAGAAATGTCCCTGGATCTGCCATGCATATGTGGCTTTGGCCCTCTTAATATCTGCAACCAGTTCTTTTCTTGCCCTTCCCAGTTCATGTGGGTCACCAGATTTGAAGCCAGCATCCCTGGCTTTCAGCAGAGTACGGACCTCTGCATTCAGCCAGGGTTTCTGGTTTAGGTAGCACATCACAGTTCTGGTGGTAGTGACATCTTCAACACACTTGCTGATGTATCCGAGAACAGCAGATGTGTATTCCTCATGATCGAGTTGTTCCTCATTTACAGCAGCCTCCCTGAAGATCTGCCAGTCTGTGCATGCAAAGCAGTCCTGCAGTACAGAGTTGCTGTCGCTGGGCCACACATTTCATTAATTCATTCAACCTTTATTTATACAGATTAGTCTCATTGAGCCTCGAGGACTCATTTACAAGAGAGACCTGTTTTTGAACAAAGAATGATGACAACAGTAGACAATCGTTAAAAAAAGCATATAAATTGAAAACAAAATAAATTGAATAAAATGATATTAGAAAAAAAACAAAACAAAAACAGCTACATTATAAAGTGATATAAAATACTAAAAACAGGAACATGTCTGAGTTGTTTGAAGTCACTTAGAGAGGTCAAGGTTGAGAGCTTCTGATCTTTTTGCAAGATACAGTATTCCAGGATACAGGAGCAGAGTTGGAGAAGGCCCTTTTGCCTAGTTCAGTCCACACTGAGGGAAGACTGCATGTGATGATGTCCTGAGAGCGCACGCTGTAGCTGCACTCATGTAGTGACATAGGAGGAGATATATAAAGGCAACAGACCAAGAAGTAATTTAAAGATGAAAATGTACCAGTGAGAGAGTCTACATGAAGTTAATGATGACCAGGTAACCAGTGAATACAGG